AATTTTTTAGGCCTGCTTAATTACCTAGCCACCTTAGCCGCTTGACAACCTGTGCAAAGTTTCTAGGAACTGAGCTCACACACCTGAGCAACAGCCTACAAAGAACAAACAGATCAAAATTAAGAATAGTCCTGACCTTTAAGTTACCCAGAAATGAATAACAGGAGGATGATGAATAGCTTGGCTAAAACTACGCAATTAGCTCTTGTAACTTGGCTTTGCTTGCTATGGGAACCTGAACATGGATGTAGGTGTCCCCTTTAAATATTGGACTCTGCAGATGGTCGTGGCCGCTTCTCTCTTGGGCTTCCCGAGTGGAGGAGCAGACACTGGCCAGTCAATAAAGGCTCTCTAAATTTTAATCAGTCTGGAATTCTGCTCTTTCTATCACTTGCGCTCCACAACAAAATCCACTGATAGCCTTATGGTGGTTCCCTTGTAAGTGAACAGCCTTTTTTATCTTGCTGCTTTCAAAATTCTCTTTGCCTTTGATTTTTGAAAGTTTGATTATAATGTGTTCTCATGAAGTCCACTTTTGTTTGAAACTGTTTGGAGACTTTAGAGCATTATGTATCTGTATGACAAAATCTCTCCTCAAATTTGGGGAGTTTTCAGCCATTATTTCTTTTTTTAAATATATTTTATTGATTTTTTACAGAGAGGAAGGGAGAGAGATAGAGAGTTAGAAACATCGATGAGAGAGAAACATCGATAAGCTGCCTCCTGCACACCTCCCACTGGGGATGTGCCCACAACCAAGGTACATGCCCTTGACTGGAATCGAACCCGGGACCTTTCAGTCCGCAGGCCGACGCTCTATCCACTGAGCCAAACCAGTCACGGCCCATTATTTCTTTAAATAGGCTTTATGCCCATTCCTCCCTTCTCCTTCTTTTATTCCCACAATGCATATATTCTTTTGTCTGATGGTGTCCCACAGTTCTCATGAACTATTTCACTTTCATTCTTTTTTTCCCCCCAACTGGGTAATTTCAAATTACCTATCTTTGAGTTTGCAGATTCTTTCTTCATCTTGATAAAGTCTGCTACTGATGTTCTCTATGTAGTTCTCCATTTCACTCATTGTACTTTCCAGTTCCAAAAATTCTGTATGGTGCTTTTTAGTAATTTTTTTGTATACCTTCTTTTTTTGTTCATATATTCTTTTCCTGAGTTTGTTGAGTTGTCTATCTGTGTTCTCTTATAATTTTCTGAGCTTATTTAAAACAATTATTTTGAGGTTTGTTTTTTTCCCTAAAGATCTCCATGAATTTTCAGTTGGTTACTAGAATATTTGTATTCCTCAGGTGGTGTAGTTTTTCCTTGAGTTTTTGTGTTTCTTGAAGCTTTGTATTGATGTGTGAATGTTTCACGGAGCAGTCACCTTTTCCTGATTTTAAGGAATGGTTTCAGTGGGAAATACCTTCACCTGTGGGTGGATGCAAAGGTGCTAGCTGAGTGGGATGAGGCAGTTCCAGCTCCAGGGAAGGTGTAGTGTAATAGTCTTTGTAAAGCTCTTTCAGCTGTCATCAGCATCAGCAAAGACTGAAGGTGTCCTCAGTGACCAAGACTGCATGTGTATGAAGCAGCCATGAGATCTGTGAGGCTCTTTAGTGGTAAAGGCTGCTACTGTCCTCTTGATCTCTCTCTTTTTAAAAAATGCTATATCAGTACAGTGAAACTTAATTTCAAGAGACACTGAATGCCATTAGTTTATATATTATTAGTTTATTATAAACAAGACTCATAAATTGTTTATATGATTGAAGATTTCAGAACTTCAATGGAATGGGCAGCTTCAGGTGCTGCCATTTCAATAGTTCTTCATTTCAGTCTACATGCTTTGCAAGAATGTCACCATTTCTAAATAACAAACAATCTTTGTCATCTGGAACTACTTTGGTGCCGCCATATTCTGGAAGAAAACAATGTTATCTTCAACTTTCATGCTAACTGGTTGAATCTCTCCACCCTTTCCTTTGGAGGGCAATCCAACAGCTACTACTGTTGCTTGCAAGACTTTCCTTGAGATTTTTCTGAATGCACAATGCCTACTTTGGTTACAGTTTCCACAGCACTTCTTTCAACTAATACTCAGTCCAAGAGGGGAAGAAACTTTCTAAACATCTGTCCTGCCATGACTCCTGCCTCCACAGTTTGTACTCTGCTGTAATGCTGTGGCTGCAAAGTTTTATCTCCCATGGTGAAAATCATGGCTGAGGGAATCCTTTGAGCCACTTACAGTAGCTGTGTCAATGAAATTTGATGCATGGGTGACCATGGAGTGCCCACGGGGTCAGACTGGATTGGAGGCATACATGAAGCTACTGGAGTGGCTCTTGGTCTGGGGCAGTGTTGGTACTAGTGCCTGTGGTACAGGCACTCACACTGCAGTGTTGGCCATACTGTATGAGGTAAAGATGCTTGGGAAGCAGCCACACAACCTAGGTACAGAACTCAGGCTCACACAGAGCTACAGAGGCTCTGTGGTCTAAGGCATAGACTCCATTGACTTAGATGAATACATTTGCAGATAAGGTATATGTGGTGAATAAATGAGTCTGCTATGGTAGTACCTTGGGTACCTAAGTTTGGGTACTTGTGGAGAAGCTACTGTCATGAGTTCCAGAGGACAGGTGGATCCACTGAAGCAATGTTCCAGTTTCCATATTGTGAACACTTGCAAATTGGCCTCAGATCCAGAGACCAGAGCAGAGGTGTGCATGAAGTGATAGTGTCACTGGTATCTGCAGCATGGGATATTCATTGGTGTCAGTGGCTCTGGTGATTGAGGTACCGGTATATGCAGAGTGGCCCTGGAGACAGGGTTTGGAACATGGGCATGGGTGGAATGGCTGTGGAACTTGGGTCTGGGGCAGGTGCCCATAGCGTAGCCATGACGCTGGGGTCTAGGACAAGCACAAGGTTGGTGGTGGTAGCCTTAGTACTGGAATGGCACAGCAGTGGCTTCTTTTTCATAGAGAGGTCTCAGTAGAATCCCACTTTAAAGAGAGTCTGTGGTAGTGATGGCTGTTGCTAACCTCAATGGCAAAAGCTGCCAGTAACCTCTGTGGTGGAGGCTGCTGGGGTCTAAATCAACAAACATTTTTGGGGTCCTCTACTATTAAAGCTGTAGGAATTCATGGCTGTGCTTAGGACTATTGAGATGTTCAGTGGCTAAAGCTGCCAGGGTCCTCCACAGAGCAGACCTTGTGCCTGATACTGTTAGCACCCACTGTTTATTTGTTCTTAGCCTTTTCAATATGTCTCCATCATACTGATTTCACCAGCAATCTTTCCTATGTGATCATTCTTTATTTTTTGTTCCACAGTGTTGTTGCAGCTTCTTAATTAGACACTGTACCTCTACCATGGCTATTTTCATTCATGCATAGCTGTCATCTGGGGGGGCGGGGCAGGCTGGTATCTTCTACTCTGACATCTTTCTGACATCACTCAGTAAGATCTTTATCTCTTTGTATCTTGTAACAATTTTTGGCTTAAAACTTCTTTTATGTGACATTAGTATAGCTACTCTTTTTGCTCTCTTTTGGTTACTATTTGCTTGGAATAACATTTTACATCCTTTCACTTTTTACCTAGTTATATCTTTGGTTTTAAGTCACTCATTTATAGACAGCATAAAGATAGGTGATGCTTATCAATTATGTAAATATCTGCCTTTCAATTGGATAGCTTAATTCATTTATATTTCAAGTAATTACTCATAAAAAGTGCTTATACAATTTTTCTGTTCAATTTTATGAGCTTATATCTTTTATGTTATCAATTCTTGCATTACTGCCTTCCTTTGTGTTTAATTGGATTTTTCTTGTGCACCAATTTGATTCCATTTTTAAAATATATTTTTATTGATTTCAGAGAGGAAGGGAGAGGGATAGAGAGATATAAATATCAACAGTGAGAGAGAATCATTGATTGGCTGCCTCCTGCATGCCCCACACTGGAGATCAAGCCCGCATTCCAGTCATGTGCCCTGACTGGGAATCAAACCGTGACCTTCTGGTTCATAGGTCAATGCTCAACCCCTGAGCCACGCTGGCCGGGATCCACTGTATTTTTTTAATGTTTCTACTTTGGATTTGAATCTGTTTTACAGATGTCACATATTATAAGTGCCTGATATGATTACAAATTATTTGATAAAGATTATCAAATATTGCAGGAAACACTTTGATTTAATGAAGCACAATTTGAAAATGATCAATTTAATAATTCTAAATTTTTCCCAAGAGTTGTCTTCCAGAGTCTCTCTCACTGGGTTCCAAAATAATAGTTTCACAGAATGGAACTAGATGAGTTTTCAAAATTAAAATTGGTTTTTGTTTCTCTAATTATATCACCAATGCAGGCATTGGTTTCCTAGTTTTAAATATATACATGGCTGGTGATTTCACAAACTCCTTCAAATAGGCAATATTACATTCATTTATCTTTATCACTAAGAGTTGTTTTTAAAGATTACACTGAATCTCCATTTTGTAGCAGAAGGCTTTTTCCTTCTCTTTTTGTCCTCATCTTGCCTTATTGGCATTTCTATTTTCCTCTGTTTTTAGCCTTTATGAAGTAAATAGAGGCCTGGTGCATGAAATTCCTGCACAGGTAGGGTCCCTAAGCCTGGCCGGCAATCAGGGCTGATCTGTGGGGCAATCAGTGGGGCAATCAGGGGGGCCCGCACTGGTACCCGCCTTGGCCAGCCTAGCACCACCTGCTCACTGGCCCTGTCCCTCCACTGCTGCATGTCGCCTCCCTTTGTGGCCCATTCACCCATCACCTGCTCCACAAGATATAGCTTGTGTCACCTCCGCTGGTACCCGCCTTAGCTGGCCTGGGGCCTGCGGGCTGGAGGTAGCTCCTGAGTTGAGTGTCTGCCCCCTGGTGGTCAGTGTGCATCATAGCAACCGGTCATTCCCCTGGTCCTTACACCATTAGGTCAATTTGCATATTAGGCTTTTATTATGTAGGATAAGTTTTCTTACCTTCTGATTTGGCTGTTGAGGGAGTGTAAAAATAGACTTCCAGTAGGTCCAGGTAAAGAACACAAAGATGGCATGGTAGAATATGAGGTAGATAACTGAAATTTAAGAAAAAAGAAAATTTGTTCACACTATCCTTTTGCCCATTTATAAGAGTTCAAAAAGACATAAAGCTCAAAATCAAATTTCCATTTTGTTTTCCTATTACAAAATTTTTTTTAGTATTACTATAAAATTTAAATTATTTTTCCCATGCAGTGAGAGAAACAATTATAATGCCAAATTTTGAACCAACGATTTTCTGAACGTTTCATGTTTGAAAGTTGCCATGCAATTCTGAGAATAAAGAGAAAATGTCCTTTATGACAATATGGAGGAAGGTACAATAGCCAATTGTTATTAACTCTGCCACTGTGGGTGATAAAAAATGATAATAATAGTATTTTCACAGCACTATAGAGTTTAAAATGTGCTTTCATAATATCTTATTTAATTTTTCAATACATTTCTGAGATTGCTGATAAAATAGGAATAGTTGGTTAACTATAGGGTTAGTTGATTATGCCAGTTCACACAACTACTATATAATATAACCAGGTTTTAAAAAGTGTATTTCTGCCTCTAAATCACAAGGTCTTTTCAGTAGCTCCAAAGAATACACACTATTGAAATGTGAGTTGTACCTTTAAGACAATTGTAAAAGTGGTTCACCACTGCTTTTCTTTGTATATTCTTTGCCTCCTATATGGGAAGTTTCAGTATTCTTCACAGAATTCATTATAAGATTAAAGATTAGTTTACAGTTTAATTTTGAGTACTTGCATGGTAAGGTCTTATTACTTCCTTTTTACAAACTTTTAAAAATTGATTTTAGAGGGAGAGGAATTGAGAGAGAAAGGGAGACATCGATGTGAGAGAGAAAAATCCATCAGTTGTTTCCCACACACACCCCTACCAGGGGTCGAACCCACAACCTGAGTATGTACCCTGACAGGGAAATGATCCTGCGACCTTTTGATGTACCAGATGATGCTCCAACCAAATGAGCCACACCAGCCATGGCTGATTACTTCCTTTAAAAATGTTTTTCATTGCCTGGGGTAACATTGGTTAATAAATTTATATGCTTAAAGTGTACAATTCTATGATTCATTTTCTATATATTGGATTTTGCCTTTTCTTGACTTTGAGTGGTGAAAACAAGGTCTTATTACTTCAATTCATCAGAAAGACTCAAGGAAATTATGTTAAAAGCATGTTAATAGGGCTGAAACTTTCATACATTATGGTTGAATTAAAAAAAAAAAAAGCTGGCTCTGACTGGTTTGGCTCAGTGGATAGAGCATCGGGCTGTGGACTGAAAGGTCCCAGGTTCGATTCCAGTCAAGGGCATGTACCTTGGTTGCGGGCACATCCCCAGTGGGGGTGTGCAGGAGGCAGCTGATCGATGTTTCTCTCTCATCGATGTTTCTAACTCTCTATCCTTCTCCCTTTCTCTCTGTAAAAAAACAATAAAATATAAAAAAAAAAAGCTGTACTATCTCAGTCCAGTGCCTTAGCCCTATAGTATAGAACTTTTTTTATGTGGTTGATTTGTGTAATTAGGAAACCTCATTTTGAAATTTAAGCAACAAAAAGTAAATATCCACCACACACAGAAGTCTAACTTTCCACATCCCCTTCTTAAGATATAATACCTGTTTGGTTTGGTGTTTGATGTGTATCATTCCGAATCTTATTTTTATGTTTATATAAATATGTATGAACATAATACACATGGAATTTTTAATATGTTCAAAAATTTTTCACTGTATTTTTTTTGAAAAATAATACAAATACAAGGCTCAAAATTTGAAGTTGTAAATTGTACAGTGAAAGTCTCCCTTCTATCTCTGTCCCTCAGCAACACAGTTTTCCTTCCTGAAAGCTAGAAATGTTACACTGACATGAGTTTATTCTGTATCATTTCAAACTTTATATATATAAAAGCATCCAAAGAGTGTGCTTTTTTCACACAAGTAGCAGTATTCTACATATAGTTTTTCACCTTCATTTTTATTTACTATAAGTTGGATATCATTCATTTAATATAACAGAGTGAGTGAACTTCCTCATTCTCATTTTTAAAAGTTGTATGGGGACCCAAGATGGCAGCAGAGTAGGTAGATGTTACATTTACCCTGCATAATACCAAACTGGAATTACAACTAAAATATAGAACAATCAACCTGAATAACCAAATTAAGACCAGCTGAACAGAAGTCTTATAATGAAGGATTTATAGAAGGAGTCACATTGTGACAGGAAGAGTGGAGATGAGAAAAGGGCTGGCATCACTCCCATAGGCAGCAGCTGTGATCCTGGAAGGATATCTCAGCTGCAAAGGTTCCCACTGAGGAATGAAGGGTCTCAACCCCATGCCAGAATCCCAAGTCCAGAGCACCAGAGCCCACATAACTTCTAGCTATGAAAATCAGTGGGGGATTCTGTCAGTTACGGAGAGACAGGTCACTACAAAAAACACAGGGGCCCTCTTAGAGGGAAAACACATGAAATCTCCTTTGCAGCCACTCACCCTGGCAAAGGGGTCTAGAGTTTTGTGAGGTTTGTGGCTCTGGGGAAAGAGTTCAAGGGAAAGCTGCCAGGATCTTTGTCCTGAGTCCCTCTACCACACTGCAGATGCCATACTTCTTGGGTGGAGAATTCTCCTCATTATGGGATCAGCCTGGGAGAATGAAATACCTTCACCTTCTAAACTCCGTCACCTCATCCTGTGGTGCTCAAACCCTGCTAAGGAGTCGGCTGCCTGGAAAGTGGTATGGAAGTCTGAGTAGACTTAGATGGTGTCAGTGACTGAGTTTTGTGGCTCTGGAGTTTGGGTCATTCCTTCCTCCTTCTCATAAGCCTGACAGATGCTCCCTCTCTCGTGAGAGATCTGCGAGCTCCACCCTCCCAACTCCTGGCAGCCGAGCCCTGATGAGATACAGCTGCTGATAAGCTCTCAAACAGACTGAGTTGTGTCTTTCTAAAAAGGGGGCCATTTTGTGCTTGCAGATCCAATGGGTGCAGAGCCCTTCTTTCACACAACCAAATATTGGTCTCTTTAGGACTGATAAAGTCTGCTGGAAAGCCCTGATGATTTCCTGAGACCATGACCCATCACAAAGGTCTGCAGGCAACTCATGGGTAGCAGCTAGATAAGATATACCCTAGAACAGTGGTTCTCAACCTTCTGGCCCTTTAAATACAGTTCCTCATGTTGTGACCCAACCATAAAATTATTTTCGTTGCTACTTCATAACTGTAATGTTGCTACTGTTGTGAATCGTAATGTAAATATCTGATATGCAGGATGGTCTTAGGTGACCCCTGTGAAAGGGTTGTTCGACCGCCAAAGGGGTCGCGACCCACAGGTTGAGAACCGCTGCCCTAGAACATTTGCTGAGGGGCCTCAGACCTAACAATGTCACTGAGATTTAGCCTGTATCACTCTGTTGAAAACCACTTGCAACAAATTGGTGACTCACCGAGAGAACCTTCTTCCTACAACTCAAGTACCACCAGAGGCAGTTCAGTGACTGAACCTAAGAGGCAGCTGGCAGAAGAGTCAGGTGTAGGTTAATCTCAGGATGCCTAGGGCCTTTTGCTGACCTGAACCTGGACTCAGTGCTGGTGGAACTCAGCCTTGTTGCACAGCTTGATCCTTTTCATGCACATCCAGGAACAGTAGAGTCAGACTCAAATGGTAAATTGCTTCATAGCTCCAAACAGGTTTGCCCAGGACAAATCACATGCAGCATTTGTATTGACCTGTGCCAGAGTCCCTCCCAAGATTGGGAGACATAGAAGATCTACCTAATACATAGAAATAAACATAGACAGGCAGCCAAAATGGGGAGACAAAGAAACATGCCTAAAATTAAAGAACAAGAGAAATCTAAAAAGAAAACGGGGTGGGGGGACTAAATGAATGGAGGCAGGCAATTTACCAGATACAACGTTCAAGAAATGGTTATAAGGATGCTCAACTAATTTAGTATGAACTGAAAAAAACAGTGAGAACTACAACATCATGTAAAGGACAAAGAAACCATAAAAAATAACCAGTCAGAAATGAATAATTCAATATGTGAAATGTAGAATACACTGGAAGAAATAAACAGTAGGTTGAATGATGCAGAGAATCAAATCACCAAATTGAAAGAGACTGGGTAGCATAAAACACCCAATCAAACACTAGAAAGAAAAAAAATATTTTAAAAAGAGGATAGTTTAAGTGATCATTGGGACAACATGAAGCATAGCAATATGCACATCATAGGCATACCAGCAGGAGAAGAGAGAGAACAAGAGATTTAGAACATATTTAAAGAAATAATGGCCCTAACTAGTTTGGCTCAGTGGATAGAGAGCCGGCCTGTGGACTGAAGGGTCCCAGGTTCGATTCCGGTCAAGGGCATGTACCTTGGTTGCGGGCACATCCCCAGTAGGGGGTGTTCAGGAGGCAGCTGATTGATGTTTCTCTCTCATCGATATTTCTAATTCTCTATCCCTTTCCCTTCCTCTCTGTAAAAAATCAATAAAATATATTTTTTTTAAAAAGAAAGAAATAATGACAGAAAACTTCCATAACCCGGTGAAGGAAAAAGATACACAAGTCCAGGAAGTACAGAAAGAACCAACAAGATGACTCCAAAGAGGCCCACACCAAGACACATCATAATTAAAATGGGAAATGATAAAACAAAAAGATAATCTTAAAATCAGCAAGAGAATAAGAGTTAGTTATCTATAAGTGAGTTTCTATTAGACTTCCAACTGATTTCTCAACAGAAACATTTCAGGCCAGAAGGGATTGGCATTAAATATTCAAAGTGAGGAAAAGCACGGGCCTACAAACAAGACTAATATTTAAAAACTATTTTAAAGTTTATTCTTATTGTTGAAAATATTACAGATATCTTCATCATTCCCCAGTCACCTCACTCCACCCCTTACAGCCCCCACCAGGCCTTCACCACACTATTGTCTGTGTCCATGGGTTATGCATATATGTATATAAGTTCTTTGGTTACTCTCCTCCCACCCCAACCCCCTC